TGTCTGACGGGAGGCTCAGGGACCAATGAATTCAAGTTCCTCAAGCCTAGCATGCCCAATTTCCAGGGCCACTCCCCTGGGCCAGCAGAAGAAAACCCCAACTTTGGTTTTAGTATTCAGTGACTGTGTTTTTTTTTTCCTATTACAGATATTTAAATTGGTAAATTCAAGGTATGGATTTTCTGGCAACCTATTAAGAATTTTTAAATCTCACTGCCTGCAAATTTTCTTATATTACTCCTTTGTTTAAAAAAAAAGTATCCTTTCTTATTAGTATAAGAATATGCATGGTTCTAATTTTGCTCTCAAAACACTAATGAAGTCAGTAGTTGTACAAATTCTTGTGGAATAGCTTTGGAATAGATTAGGAAAGCAGCGGAAAATTTATTCTATGTGATCAATTGTATTTCCTTAAGTTTTTATTTTAAATCGTTAGGTAAATAAGAGCAGTAAGACACTAACACGAAGTATGCCTAATGGGCAAGGAAATACCTGGTACAGTGAGAATCTGGTTCTTGCTTTATTCTGCTCTCATAGCTCTTCACTCTGATAATTATTTTCTTTTAAAATATACTAACTGTGCTTCCTTTCATTAATATACTAGTGTTAATTTAATGTAATTATTTTATTGCCTTCCATTTAGTGTCGTTGCTGTTAACAGGGGAAGTAGCTACATTATATTTATCCAGTGACATGAAATAGCATAGTAGTAAAATTGACTTTTTCTGAGAAACATTGAGCATGTGTGACAGAAAATGCAGTGGCCACCCAAATCCATTGATCTTTCTTCCTTAATAACAGGTCCCAAATTTCATGGAGGGCATTAGTATGTTTATTCAAAAGAATACATTTTCTTACCCTGGCAGTGGAATGGAGTATTTGACTATTTTATTGCCAATGGAATGTATATACATATGTTGTAGGAGACTACCAAGAAGGCTGTTTAGTTAGAGAAGTCCTTCTCTAATTTCTCCTTATAGCCAGGAATGTGTAAGTCGTAGCTGGAACACAATTAGCCTTGTTGGACCATAAAGTAATACTAAGGATGGGAATAATGTACAAAGACAAGTCAGTATAGAATAAACTTAAAAGAGATGAGGATCTCTGGTATTATGGAGTCATCATATCATCCCTGAGTACGTACTTCTGAGCTTTTTTTTTACTTGAGAAATAAAGGAACTTCTGTCTCATTAACCCACCATCATTTTAGATTTTGAGCTACCTCCAGTGGATTCCAATCCTAAAGCTTTAACAGTAAGGTTTTTTATTAAAATGTTATTCAATATAGTACAATGCACAGATATTAAGTGTATAGTTTGATAGAACTGATAATTTCAAGCTCTTGTTCTTGGTTTCTAAATTAGTTAAAAGTAGAGTACAGAAAAAGTAGTAGAGTACAGTGCTTTACTTTCATTATTTAGTCCTATGCCAGGGGAGTTGGCATAGTACCCTCTTTTACACATGAGAAAACTGAAGTTTAGAAAGGTTAGTAACTTGCTTTCTAAAGTAATGAAAGGAAAAATTTGAAATACATTCTATTTGAATGTAATACTTCAGTTCTTAATCCATGTGTTATAATGGCAGGCAGGTAGCATTGTCTTTTTAACTAAGGAAAATGAAATTCATCTATTCCATGAACTGAATTCCTATGCAGAAATGTAACTTTGAGTGCATAATTTGTACTTGTTTCTTTACTCTAGAGCAAAACATTATTCTGGACCAGTAGATCCAAACTTCTTATAGAAGCACTGACTTAAATAAGCTGGGTCAGACAGCACAATTAATCTTCATTAGGAGCAAAACAGTCTGATCATTTTCCTTTATCTTTTCAGCATATCACATTCATTATTGCAGATATGAATGCCTTGAATGAGGAATAGAATTAATCTATGGTTATATTTCTTGAATTTCTTGTACTATGTCTTCAGTCTGTTTTCTGTCAATCTTAATTTTTCATTTTCCTTAGGAAGTGGAAATTCACTTTACTATATACATTTTTTTTCTAAGTACCTTATTCAAATTAAACATACTGTATTCATTTTAGCACATTATTGTTTGGAAGCAATTGATATTTCTAGTATTTTAAGTGAAAAGACTACTTTCAGAAAAGTATAGGCAATGGTGTGGAGGAATTTTTTCACTGAATAATTTAGAGAATCTGGGAATTTAGTAGGAATGAAATGGATAGGCTTTAGCTACTTTCTGTTAAAATTAACCACATGTCTTTGGCAACTCCTCAAAAATTATGTTGGAAAGAGATTTAGGGGGTCATTAATGACTTTATTCTGAAAGGATGATTCACCAAAGCTGAATCAGACATTTTCCAGCAAATGCTGTGATAGTACTATTCCTGTAGAGTGATAAATTGTTGTAGAGACAGCTGTTGGATGCATGAATATCCATTCTTGTGTATGTGTTAGTTTCCCATTGCTGCTATAAAAATTACTACAAACATAGTTGCTTAAAACAACAAAATATATATTACCTTGCAGTTTTTTAGGTGTCTGATATGGGTGTTACTGGTCTAAATCTGTCTAAAGTGTTGGCAAGAGTGCATATCTTTATGGTGGCTCAAGACATAAATCCATTTTTTTTGGTCTTTTCCAGCTTGTATATGCTGCCTGCATTACTTTGCTCATAGCCCCTTTCATCCATCCTCAAAGCCAACAACATTGTATCTCTCTCACTTTTTAAAAAGAGATTCTATGTATTTTTATGTCTATATTTTGACAAGAGAGAGCCCAAACGACCACAAGCAGAGGAAGTGGCAGAGAGAAAGGGAGTAATGGAGCCTGAAGTGGGGCTCAATCCCAGGACCCCGGGATCATGACCTGATCTGAAGGTCAACTGAGCCATCCACGTACCCAACATTGTTTCTCTTAAACCAATTCTTCCATATTCGTAATTTCTCTGACCATAGCCAGCAAAGTTTGTCTCGCCCAGATGATCCAGGATAATCTTCCCTTCATAAGATCCTCTACTTAATTACATCTATTAATGCTCTTTTGCCATGTAAGATACATATTTACAGATCTGGGGAATTAGGATGTCTGGGTGGATGGCCATTATTCTTCCCTACCACAGATTGTCTGCTTGGGAGAAAATTATCCAGTTTAGCAGTATCACTGGTGGCCAAAGGAAGACAAATAAAGCCTTTATAACAGGAGTTTAGGGTTCATTAATTAGATGCTTTAACCCCAAAGTATTTAACATTAAGAAAAAGCATTAAGAAAAATACTGCATTGAAAGATATGAACCTTACTGCAGTTAGATCCAAATTATAAAAATGTAAAACCTGAGCAAATGAGTGCAAAGTCCTTTAAGTGCACTTAAAGGACTTATATCTAGAATATACAAAGAATTCTTACAATTCAATTATGAAAATGCAAATAACCCAGTTTTAAAGTGGACAAAGATCTGAATAGATGTCTAAGGAAGAGATTCAAATGGACAATAAGTTCAATACCAGTAGTCATCAGAGAAATGTAAATCAAAATGATAATGAGATACTACTTCATACCCACTAGAATCAAAAAGACATGGGGTGCCTTGGTGGATCAGTCAGATGGGGTGCCTGGGTGGTTTGGTTAGTAGAGAATCAGACTCTTAATTTCAGCTCAGGTCATGATCTCAGGGTGGTGAGATGGAGCCCTGCTCAGGCTCCACACTCAGCAGAGTTGCTTGTGATTCTCTCTCTCCCTCTCCTTCTGCCCTTTCCCTGGCTCATGCACACGTGTGCATGTGTGTGCTGTCTCTAAACAAACAAACAAACAAATAACTAAAATCTTTTTTAACAAGTCAGATAACAAGTGTTGGGAGGATGTGGAAAAACTGTAATGCTGATAGATTGTTGGTGGGAATGAAAATGGTACAGCCACTTTGGAAAATACAGAGCTACCATATGAATTAGCAGTTCTACTCCCAGAGAAATGAAAATTTATGTCCACGCAAACATTTGTATATGATTGCAGCTGTTTTACTCTGAAGAACCCAAAGGTGGAAACAACCCAAATGTTGATCAACAGATGAATGGATAATCAAAATGTGATATATCATACAATGGGATATTATTCATCCATAGAGAGGAATGAAGTTCTGAGACTTGCTATAACTTGGATGAACCTTGAAAACATGCTAAATGAAAGAATCTGGTAACAAAACTCCACATATTATTCCATTCATATGAAAGTCCAGAATAAGGAAGTCTACAAAGTTATTGATTAGGGCTCAGGCCTCTGTCTCTGCAGGACAATTAATTGTTGATTAGGGCTTAGCACAGGAGGGATAGTAGAATAGGGGGCGTATGGATTTTGTGGGATGATGAAAGTGTTCTAAAATTGACTCTGGTGTGTTGCGGGGGTGGCTCAGCTGGTTAAGCATAAGCCTTTGGCTCAGGTCATGACCCCAGAGTCCTGGGTTGGAGCCCAGCAGGGACCCTGCTTCTCCCTCTGCCCCTCCCAACCCCACCCACCCCCGCTTGTGTGTGTTCTCTCTCAAATAAATAAAATCTTTTTTAAAAAATAAAATTGACTATGATGATGGATATACTACCCTGAATACACTGAATTGTACACTTTAAATGAATGAAATGTATGGTATGTGAATTATATCTCATTAAAGCTTTTTAAAAAGGAATATAACAAATTATTCTTGTCATTTTTAAAAAAATGAATCCAATCCAAAAGAAGAAGAAGAAGAAGAAGAAGAAGAATCATCCAAAAGAATGACAGACCCAACCTTGCAATCTATCCACTACCTATTTGGGAAGTAATTTTCCAATGAGTTGGAAATGGCAGAAACTCACAGCTCTCAGGCTTAGGTGTTGTAAAGAGGAAGTGTGTGATTTTAATAAGGCATTGGTTAAAACTCTCTTTAGAACTGACACTAATTGCAATTTTTCAGTCTCTACTCATTTGCAATTCTATAATATGTACCATGAAAATAATGTACTCGTGAAACTCTTCCCATGTTACTTTAAAAACATTTGCTCCTAAATGTATATTCTTTTCAACTTAAATGTTATTTTATTCAATCATTAAATCTCAAGTTTTAAATGGTAAGCTAAGTGATAATTTGCTCTTGTATTACTCCTGTGCAACAACACAGAGCTCTACCTGAATACACACACAAAAACCACCTGAAAATAGAAGTCATTGTTTTATGTTACAGAACACATTTTACACAGCTTATTCGGTACATTCAGGAGAATTCCATAGAAAATAAGATTCAGTGAGAACACATGGTGGCGCTGCAGGTTAAATGATGGAAAACAGAATTGCCTGTGCAGCTCCAGTATCCAACCGAACAATTCACACTGCCTGGAAGCTAAGAATGGTTTTCTTAGCCACAGCAGAAGTGAATCTGAAATCTCTTTAAAACTCTATTTAGTGGCATAGTCTTGATATCTGGACTGCAGTACCAAGCTACCAAGATCCCAGGCATCCAGGAAGCTTCTCTGAACCAAATTTTCATGAAGAGCAATGGAGATTGGATGGTTGCATTTTCTGAGACAAAGGCAAGTCCTTGTTTTCTTTGTTTTGCTGAGTATGTCTCGGGTGGGTGCCGAGTTAGAGCCCTATTCAGTAGCGGAAGAAATGGAGAGAGGGTCCTTTGTGGCAAATCTAGGAAAAGATCTGGGGTTAGGATTGACAGAGCTGTCCACCCGCGGAGCTCGGATCATTTCTCAAGGCAACAAAGAGTATTTGCAGCTCAAGGTTCAGACTGGGGATTTGGTCATAAATGAGAAACTAGATCGAGAGGAGCTATGCGGTCCAACTGAGCCTTGCTTACTGTATTTCCAACTGTTAATGGAAAAACCCTTAGAGATATTTCAGGCTGAATTGAGGGTGGAAGACATAAATGACCATTCTCCTGTGTTCACTGAAAGAGAAATGATTCTAAAAATACCGGAAAACAGTCCTTTAGGAATTACATTCCCTCTGAGTAATGCTCTGGACTTGGATGTAGGAAGCAACAGTGTTCAAAACTATAAAATCAGCCCCAACTCCCATTTTGAGGTTCTAACCCGCAAACTCAGTGATGGCAGAATGTACCCTGAGCTGGTGTTGAAAGAAGAGCTGGACAGGGAGGAAGAACCTGAAATCTTATTAACCTTGACAGCGCTGGATGGAGGCTCTCCACATCGGTATGGGACAGCGCAGGTGCGCGTTGAAGTGGTGGACAGCAACGATAACGCCCCTGAGTTTGGGCAGCCCATCTACAAGGTGCATATTCCTGAGAACAGTCCCGTAGGCTCCCTGGTTGTCACTGTTTCTGCCAGTGATTTAGACAGCGGAGTCTATGGAATAATATCCTACACACTCTTCCAGCCTTCAGAAGATATTAGCAAAACTTTGGAAGTAAATCCTGTAACAGGAGAAATTCGACTGAAAAAACAAGTAGATTTTGAAACAGTTGTATCTTATGAAGTAGACATCAAGGCCACTGATGGGGGCGGCCTTTCAGGAAAATGCACTCTTCTCCTCCAGGTGGTGGATGTGAATGATAATCCTCCAGAAGTGACCCTGTCTGCACTTACGAGCCCCATCCCAGAGAATTCACCTGAGATTGTAGTTGCTGTTTTCAGTGTTTCAGATCCTGACTCTGGGGACAATGGGAAGACCATTACCTCCATCCAGGATGACCTTCCTTTTCTTCTAAAACCTTCAGTCAAGAATTTTTACACCTTGGTAACAGAGAGAGCACTAGACAGAGAAGAAAGAACAGAGTACAACATCACCATCACCGTCACCGACCTGGGAACCCCCAGGCTGAA